GACTTTCACAAGATTTAGCAGTTAGAACACACTGGAAGGTGACACACAAGTCCACATTGCATCACATCTCAGATGACCAACATCAACATTTTCAATGCTGTGAAAGCCTTAGATCTCATGTTATCATCTGGTCTGCTTTTTAAACTGCTAAATTTTAAATTAAATACTGTATTTTTAGAATCTTCTTCTTCTATGGCTCTCCGGTCCGTATTCGGTCCACAGCCTCCTCTATTCTCCTCTTCCATTCGGTCCTATCCTCCGCTGCCTTCTGTTAGGTCCGTCTGTCCGAGGCTTTGATCGAGGTTTCGAAACATCTTCCTTTTTACGGTGCAAGGTTGTTAGCCTTGCGACCAACCCCCAACCTGGAGGATCAGGGTACCTGTCTTAGCCTGACCTCTTCCCCTCGACCAATCTGGCTAGGGAGGCCCTACCAGTAGCTATGCTACCAATTTTAGAATCACTTTATTGTATTTCCAGACCATCCTTGGGAGGCATTAGAAACCCCCCTTATTTTAAATACACAGAAACATTCAAGATGAATGGCTAGGCTTATATATTATTTGTAAAAGAATATTGATTTACATTTGATGTTGACGTAAGACAAGAGTGATGAAAACTGAGAGATCAGAGTAGTGTATATGGAAATGCAAATGAATTTGTGCCATTTTTATTTAGCAGACACAAGAGGAGGATGATGAAGATATGACCCCATTATGGTGGAGAGAAGGTCTCAACTTGGATAAAGCTCACCTTGTGCTTATAGGGTTTAGTAAAGGTTGTGTGGTCTTGAACCAGTTTATCTATGAATTCCATTATCTCAAGACCCTGACCCCAGATGATGATACAATGATGAGACTTGTGTCAAGAATACAGGATATGTATTGGTTGGATGGTGGGCATGCAGGTGGCAAAAACACATGGATCACTTCCAGAAGTCTTCTAGAGACTCTTACACGTTTAGGTAAGTAATCAGCATACTTTTGCACGCGACTCTCGGGATTGTCCACCACAGTTCTGAAGTCTTACATCATAGTCTTTGGATGCTGAAGAGCATAATTTTATTTCTGTCCATAATATACATCTGATTTTGATGCTGAAAATTCATAATTACATCTATTTTGTTGCATTTCTCCAAGCTATGATTTTATCATTGTATTGTATTCAAATATTTGACTATGGATCTTGCTCAGCATATGGTACAAAATATTTATAATGCAGGTGTACCCCACAGTATGATGGGGTTATGTTCCTTGAAAATGTGGTTGTATCATGAATGGTTGGTTATATTCTGGGGTAAGTTTTCCCATAGGCTTGTGTGTTATAAATTAAGATATGTTCTGAGCTTGTAGAAAAGTGGTTTGAGATTACTATTTGTGCTATACAATGATAAACATATTTTAATACTGTTTAAATTTATTAAAGGTATTTAATTAATAATAATCCCAGACATGTTATAATCAAAGTAAAGTAAAGTAAAGTTTGTCCCACTATACGCCATGTAGGCGTTTGGGGTGAGTGGAGGTATAGCTCCTCTCTTCCTTGACCTCGGCACTAGATGGGGGTGAGTGGTCAGCATCACGCCCCGGCCGGCT